AGCTGTTTCCAGGACACAAGAGAAGACTTGGAGCACGCCGTTAGGTCTATTTGGTCAGTCAGCAGCCCATGGCAGACGCACACAGTCAACTGGGGGAGATAAAGCCAGGCTGGTTGGTGATGCCACCGCTGCCCTTTCTGGTTCCACACAGACAGCTATCAAGTTGCAAAACACACGCTCCCTATCCTATTCCTCTCTTGTTTATCTGCGCGAAGCAACACAAAACCATATGCAGGCTTTCACTGTCAGTGTAAGCCATATTATTCTTGTAATTAAACCCAGGTTCACAGCCTATGTATCTCACAGCTCCTCTTTTTCCCTTCCCCCTTTTCCCCCCTCTTTGCTCCCCTCACCATTTGCCTCTCTCCAACCTTGTTTGGGTTTACATGCTGTGTCATTAAATTCCAGAACAGTAAACGCTGCAGCCACTCTCTCTAAGCACTGACACACTGCTTTCTAGGCTGAAAATTAGACAGGGGGTTAATTTCATTCCTGCAAGGACCCTGCCTTTTATTTTTCTTTACATTCAACCCAAAGGATGCTTTTGGCAGATGCTTAGGAAAAAGATCATGTTTGCCCTCTGCTTCCTCCCTGCACTCCCCCTTTCTCCACACCCACCCATCAGCCATAAAACAACACAGCCCAGCCAGATCCCAAACTGAAAGCAAGACAAAGCACCCACACAGCCCCCACTTCCATTCAGCAGAAATGGGCCACGTCGGGGCAGCCCAGGATCTACAAGTAGGCCAGACAGAAATAAACAGAGTAAACAAAGAGTATCCTGTCCAAGCAGAGAGGGGCTAAAGAGAGTGATGTCTTTCATTAAAATGCAAGGCAGGGATACAAGCGCACAGCCAGTCAAAAGCATCACTGGAGCTTGCTATGAGTAATAGGAGGAAAGCAACATACGATCATGCCAGTGTAAGAACCCAAAGCACATCGACAAACAGCACACAGGGCACAACTGCATATCCTGCCTACCAAGGACCAAAATAAGCAGCCAACCACACACCTACCACCACCCCAAAATATCATGAAGACACGCCAGCCCCGAGGCTGCAGCAGCACAGCGCTGCTCCCCAAGAGGCTGAGTAGGGAGCAGTGCATGCAGGTACAGTAGCAGGCGACCAGAGCCGTGCAAATGTCAGAGCCAGTGACATTTAAATGCAGCGTGGCTGCCTTTGTAGAAAAGGGATGGGAAAGGGGGAAGGAAAAGCGCAGCACAGCCATAGCAACAGGTCAAGTGTTTGCCGTGGTTCTTCAGGCAGAAGGGTAGTGCAGCACGTGTGCCTTCTCAGTTTTCAGAGCATCTGTCAGTGTAATAAAATCATTAGCCTGGGAATTAATAGGAGAGTTTTGTTTAGCGTTTCTGCAACCTGCTGCTCCAAAGCCCATGCAGGCCCATGTGTGAAAGTCCATGCTGTGTACACGCTCGCGTGTCCCGTTACACAGCTATCACAAACAAACCTCCTGGTTTTCCACAGGCTGGTAGGAAAAATGCAGAATGTGGAGAGGTGGGGGAACAGTCAGGAGTTTCTAGAGAAGCAATGGTCTGTCCGCTGCAAGTCTGCTCGGTTATTGGGAAAATTGAATATGCAGCTTTTTTTAAACAATCTAATCATATTTACTATTACATCAGACTTACCCACCACAGATTGTTCTCATGCAATGGAAGAATTTTTAATCTAATATCTTGGACTCGGATAATTTCCCAGCTCCAGAACTGCAATAATTTCCTATCTTCTCTTTTTTGAGATAAGCTGATAAACTTGGATATGGTTTAGTTTCAGGGTGTGATTATCTCCCTTTATTGTACTTGAGAGAGGAGGGGTGACTTACAGTAAAATAACTTTGTTTTCCCCAAGTCGGCTTTTAAAGTCTGCTTCTCTGTGATAGAGATAGGTCTTTCCTGTTGCATTTCCCTTAGTCCCTTAACTTTCAGCACTTCCTTTTCCTCTCTCACAGGCACTGTATCAACAGCAACTCTTATTTTACTCAAATAAAATGCACTGTTTGAGAAATCCCCAAAATAACTCTTTCAAAATAATCTCATGGAGAAAACATTTTCTTTTTTAAAATAAATTTGAAGGTTTATTAAAAACCCCACAACCTCGCACAATTGGTCAAATCCTGCTGGCATTGTTCATCTGTTTTCAGGCACACTTACAGAAAAAGAATAATAGCCAAAAAAGAATGATGCTCTATTCACACAACGGAGCAAAACAGGAACCTCTGTTCACTTTAGTAGAACCGACTTACACCCAAGTGAGGGAAAAGACAAAGCAAATCCTTGAATTTATGCCATTATAAATTGAAAAATACTGCTTACTCCCACATTTTTTTAGGAGCTTTTAGTATTTAATATCTTTTTCTTAAATCCCAGGTCCTAGATTTTCTTGATTATGTCAGAGGGAACTGTGTGTGTGCGTCTGCGTGTCGTGCCCCACTCCCCATCCTCCCCACCCTTTCTTTTTTCCTTAAGTTTCTAGCAATCTTATTCTAGGAGGAGAACCAGAAACCACGAAAAGAGGGCGCTTTTTGTACAGGAAGACTGTATATATTGAGATGTCTTAATTCCCCTTTCTCTTCTAGATCCCTCAGTTGTGCATGGCTTTTCAACCTGCATTGATTTGCAGACCAAATTTGACACTGGAAGCATATGAATGACACATATGCAGGTTCCCACACAGCACATATAAATTCACTCCTAAGTCACCATTCACGAATTCCTCCAAAATAAATGTTCATGGATTGAAAACTGCTAGTCTGATGATGTAGTGGGAGTGTGGCTCCTGTGTTTTCCTTTCACAACATCAGCAGTACCAAGAAGAAGCTGGCCTACTTAAAAGGGAGACTCTCTAAAAAGCCTGTTCAGTGAAAAGACATGTTGCATAAACATGCAAGTGAAAGAACTTCTTAACATTGTAGATGTAGCAACAGAACAAATCAACAATTTGCTACTTCCTATTAAAAAAAAAAAAAGAAGTAACCTCAGCTCCCAACAAATCACTGCTCATGCACAGCTGTGCCCCTCACAGCTAAGCCCCTAAAACCATCCTTGCTCCTAGGATGGGCAACCTTCAGTTCTACCCTGCAGGGGAAGAGAAGGTGGAAGCTGTCCTCTAGCTGCAGTGAGAGCACTCGTGTCCCTGAAAACACTCTCATAAGAGAGCAGCCTGCAGTATAAAAGCAGCCGTCCTATTACCAACATGTTGCTATGGGCACTATTTCTAGGAAAGCAGCCACAGGAGCAGATCCAAAAAACATGGCAAAATATAGGAGTGAAGAAAGAAAAATTACAAAGATCTTGGACTCATCCCTGCCCATTCCTACTGGTAATCATAGGACTATAGGAAAGACGAATAGCGAAATATAAGGACATACAGCGTGGTGGGGCTTGTGGTTTTGCATCACTCAAATGATCAAAAAAAGGGTATTTCAAAACCCTGCCTGGAATTATTCTCTCTTGGTACTCCAAGATACAATTTATCAGCTACTTTTAACTTATTTTTTTACTAAAAATGAGTAAAATCAAGTTTAACTGTTCTCTGTTAGCCTGCATTAAGTGAATTTAATGAATACAATTCTGGTAATGAAATTTGCTTAACAGATCATAGGTAACAGTTTGCAAAAACTTTCCACTTGTCTGCTGGAACAAGGCAAGCCTATCTACAACATATCAGAATAATTTAGTCTTCAGGCACCTTTTCCTACAACAAGTGTTAGCAGGTGACTAATGATAACTGGATTTTGTCACCAAAGAACTACAGAACAAGTAGCTTCATGCATCCAACTGAACTCAGATCAGAAAAGGGAGGATGAACTGGTCTGTATTCCACACCACCAGCATCCCCTGTATGTTAAAGTCACCCTGTCAATTCCAGTTCAAATTAATCAAGCGCAGATCAAATCTACCTTTTATGCTATTTTCTAAATGAAATCAGATGTACATGTAAAACTGGTATTTAAATGGGTTTTACCTAATAATGAGTCAGATATTGACAGAACAATCACTATGAAGACCAACGTAAGAGGCACTATATTCTCATTAATAATTCAAATCTCAGCATGGATATCGATGACCGTGCACTTAAAAGAGGAAACTGGGCAGCAGCTGGAGTTAGCCCAGATTTCCTGAAAAGTTGCTGGACTGCAACAGAGACACAGTACAGAGATTTTGCTGTAAGATCCAGCCAGAGAAGTGGCAGCTCCTCATTATTAAGAGGTTTTAGGCCCTCAGAAGCATTACTGAAATTGAGCAAGGAACAAAACCACAGCATTAGCAGACTAATGAAAGGGCACGGGTGAGAAAAACAAGGGAATGAAATCTGGAGGCAGAATCCCAGTATTTCCCCTTCTTTTGTCCCCCCAGTCCCAGTATTTGGGGCACAGAGCAACAGAGTTCAGTGGTACCTAATGCCAGTTACTGCTTAGGAGCAAGTCACCTTACAAGCTTTAGAATAAATATGTACAGTCGGCAAAAGCACAAACAAAAAGGTTGAAGGAGCCAAAACCAATCAGAACAAACCAGTTTGGGCTAGTTAATATAATCTGCTCTATTCACATAACTAAATTTGTTTCACTGAGGGCATGAACTTTCTTGGAAAAGCTCAAGTAATTAACTGCAGGAGCTTTTTTTTTTCCCACTCAAGTTTATTTTACCCTGGAATTATTGCTGCTTGCATTCAACTGCTTCTACCAATTGACATGAAAAGCTGAGCTTTGCTTGTTCTTTCTAGAGGGAGATGCTTGAAGAGATGAACACTGTTGAAGTGTACCCCTTCAATTCCTCCTACCTCCTGTCCAGTCATCCCATCACTTTGGCTAGATACAAAGAAAACTGTATCTTACCTCACGGAAAAAGAGCAGGTTACCAATGAAAGGAAGAGTTGGAGGATGTCGAATCCCTACTTTGCTTAGTTTGGAGAATGCAGATGTGGAGTACCTGGAAAAAACAAGGTAGTAAGTTAATTTTGGATCTTGTCATGATAGGACTTACCACAGTTTCAGAGAGGGAAAAAATGCTTTCTGTGTGGACCAAACAGACCTGCCAATGTGGTGACACTGCTCGGCAGCTCCCCAGGTCACAGAAATAAACACATAAGCTGGTGCTTCAGAGAGGGCAAATGAATGGACTCAAAAACAGGCCTGCCAATTGAGCAGTGGAAATAGAGAGCTGCTCATCTTCCCACAGCGGGTCTTGTAAGTCAGAAGTGACTCTCCAAAGCTGTATGAGTCTACAAACAAGACCAAAACAGGCATTTAGGGTTTGACTACAGTGGCACAGCTGGGAAAGGAACAAGAAGGATCTTCAGACTATTGTTTTCTTATTTTTCCATCACTGCTACCTATACAGATCACAGAACAAGAATTCAAACTAGTCTCAGTTGTGCATGAGCCAAGACACTGTCAGTATGTTCAAGTCAAGCCTAGTATTTGGGCCAGCTATGCTGATTAAGTGATTTTGCAGCTGCCAGTCAGCAAATTAAACAAATATAAAAACTACAGGGAAACAAAACCCAGGCTTAAAAGCTTCATCCCTTGTTTCAGATGAAACTGTGGCATGTTGACAGGGACAATAAGGGGCGGGGGGAACGACACACACCAAAAAACCAACCCCAAAGTCTTTTTTTTTTCCTCCCCTCCCGCTTTCTTAATACAACCAATGGATTTATGTCAGTGGACTTCAATTAGTGAAACCTGACAGAGCAGGAGCTAACAGCAGCAGCTTTAATTAGCTACACACAGTAATACTGAATACTATCACCAGGAAGATCAGGACAAAAGATCTTCAAGATTAATAAAAGGCTGTGTCTATATTAAGACCTTAGCTCAGAGCAATAATATAGTTTAAAGCTCTCCCTCTGCACATGGGTCTATGTCCAGAGCAGTTTTGGCACATGCAACTACACTTTTTTGTCAGTATACTGAACTTGAAGCTTTGCTCCAACCTGTCATCTCTTACCTTGGCAGGTCTGAACTCATAAGTGGTCCTTCATCTTTGAACCCCAAGTGAAGTAAGACCGTTTAGTCCTGGGGAGCAAATTAAATCTAGCCCAAAATAAAAATTGAACTGCATATAGTGTAGTGGTCACAATATCAACTGCTTTATTCTATTGGGTCTGCAAGTCATCTGAATGACATGTTAGACAGACAGCAGAAGCAGTGCCTCAGACCCTGATGGGCTCACTCCCTCTTAATCCCAGCCTTGTTGACCGTAAAGACTATGCTAACCCATCACTATGACTTGGACCTCTCCTCCTTCAGGTCCAGTAATTGACACATTCCTCGTTTGAAATGCCCTACATGATGCAGTAAGGAATATTCTGGTATAACTTAATGGGCAAACAGCACACAGTTCTTGGGGGTCAGGGAGGAGAGGGGAGAGAAAAGAAAAGTTTATGTCAGAAAATGGGCCTTTCCTCCAGCAGGAAGGAAAGGAAAGAATGGTGTTGTGAAATGAAATATATAAAATGAAGAGAATTAAATCTCACATGACCAGCAAAGCAGAATGGGGTTTAAGTATCAAGTCAGAAGCTTTTTGTAATTCTATTTCCCAGGAAGATTTCCTGAAGGACAGTACCTATTCTCTAAATGGGAATCTGTGAAGATATTTTAGAACAATCATAACCAGAAGATAGCAATTTGAACTTATTTAAATAGCAACTTTTTTTTCTTATCAAGGGGCAGTACAAACCTTCACAAACACAAACCCTTTGAATAGAAATAATGTGTCTTTAGTCTATGCAAGGGCACTATTTCAGTACGCCAGGGTATCATCGAGTAAAGGCACAGAGGTTGACATTTATTACATATTTTATACATATTATTGACTTTCTGGCTACTTAAACGCTTTAAAAAAACTAAAATGTGAGGTTTTCCTTATTGAAAAAGCTAATACTCCTGGGGAAAAAACGTTTTAAGTTCAAAATGACACAAGAGTCTACACGATACATTTTCTTTCCCAAAGAGAGAATTTTTTGCTGCTGTTTGAAATCTTCCTAAGGTGTCTTTGTGTCATAGCAGAGTCCTCATCCTCAGCATGTAAACAGTGGGAAAAAATAAAAATCTCTTTCAATGGAAACCCATCAATTTTGCAGCATTTTCTCCTGGATGGTTTCACTGTAAAATAACATGGCAGATCGCAAAACACCGGGCTGGGCTACAGTTAACTGCTAATTTCACTGTAGACCGGACACCCTGTAGACTCCTGGTCTTCATGTACTGCAAAGCAAAAATTGACTGCAACAGAGCCTTAGACTACACAAAAGCAAACAATGTGATCAAATATTTAAAGTGGAGCAAAACTAATGAGTACAGTGCACCCAGTTTCACAAGGCAACGAACACACAGACTCTGAAGACTATTTATGCTTAGATGAGCAGCTCATCTTTGTCAGCTTCTGAACATTACTGTCAGCTCCTCATAGCTGAGGATTTGCTTTCCTTTTTCCCCTCCTAACGCAGTTTTCTCTGATGCATTTTGCTCAGTTACCTTTTGAAAACCTACTTCAAATGTAAGGAAACACAAGCACTGTAGTCGAGCTTCACACTGAAATATAACAACGAAAGGGTAGGGCCAGCAGGAAAAAAAAGAAATTTCATCAATAAACACATTAGCTCTACCCTATGATTTTACAGTATTTCCGTTATTGTTGAAATATCTGCAGTTTCACAGAAAAGGAAACAGTATGCAAGTTCATAAAGACTGACAGGGCTGCATACACAAAAGAGGGAAGATCTAAGGCCATACAGAGGTAACCTTGACTTTGACCGTTTCTAATGTAACAGCTTACTTTCTGGAAACTTAAATATTAAGAGCTTCTCCCCACCATCCCCACCCCCACCCCCCCCGCAATATTTCAGCTCATTCCTACCATTTTGGAGGGGGGGGGAGGGGGGCAGAGAGAAAGGAGTGGGTTAGGGGACTCTCTTGAAAATAAGTAAAATTGTCCTGCATGACAAACAATGAACACCAGTAACACATCAATCTGACAGCTTCATGGCACAAACCTTTGCCTTTTTAGCCAGAAGCAACCAACAGCTCAAACAGGCCAATTTCTGTGATTCAGCTACTCAGCACACCCAGGACACACACTTGGACAGTAACCCTCAGAGCTGTGTGCGAACTGCGCTGGATGAACAGTGGCCAGGTTTTGTTGCTGGGAAGGGGAGGTGGGCTAGAAGCTGGAAGAGTGCGAACAGGCTAGGCCGCCTTGTAGGCAGTCACAAGACATTCGTCTGGAGAAGCTGTACATCTAAATGAAATAGTTCCACACCTGCCTTATCACCAGCGGGAAGTCTTATTTCTCACTCTGACGCTTAACACACTTCTGTGTTAATTTACCACAGAAATTAATCTGATATCAGGCAACCTCCTGCTGTTGCTGTAGGTGCATGCTAAGGGTAGAAGACCAGCCAATGGGCTGAGCCAAATGCAAACTCTAGAAATAGAAAAGATAATGAGAAGTGACCAAGATGACCAAAGATATGGAACAGCTTCTGTACAAGGAATAAGCAAACAGGCTATAATCTTAATCCTGGAAAAAGAAGCTACTGATGGAGGATAAAATAAAAATATTTAAGATTCTGCATGGCTCAGAAAATAAAGAATTGTTACCCACTATTTAAAGCCAAAATTAAAAAAAACAAAATCCACAAATGAACATTCAGGTGGCAGGATTAAAAATAAAGCCCTTTTCCAAGAAATCAATACACTAACCATGAAACTCCTTGGCATGGGATGCTGTCTATTCTAGAAGCTTAAAAAGCTTCCAAGAGTGATTAAATAAATTAATGAAAGGGAGAAAAAATAAAAAAAATAAATCAGCAGGCACTTTTAATTCGTGAGTTTAACAAATGTAAGAGACAGACATGGAAAAGATTAAAGGGAAGGAGGGAAAATTAATCAAATTTATTTTCCTAAGCAGGGAACTAGTCTGTAAGCTTCCAAAGGCAGAATAAGAGATTAGACTGTTATAAAACCTAAGAGATAAAACCTCAGACACTTCAGTTTTCTTAAGAGGAAGAGAGGCAGGAGTCTTTGTGCAAAGGGAGGGGCATGAAAAGGATAAAACTGATGGCAGCAATATTTACTGCACGATCTAGCACATTCTCACTCAAAGGAGAAACATACCCTAATATTTACACACACAGGGCTTCCTGCACAACTATTAATTTAAAACCCTGGCATTATATTTTGAACAAAGTGACAAGACATCAAAAGGAACCAGAGGAACAGCAGTAATGAAGTAGATCAATAAACAATTTAGTAACTCTTTGAAGCCATTCAGATGGCCTCTCAGAGCTAGATGCTCTCTGTATATATTAAACACGACTGTTAGAAGAAACTTAACATTCTAAATACATTCCTGTAGGCCAGCATGGCAGATTTAAGCTTTCTGAAATACAAAGTTCTTTCTACAAAACAGCATGCAAAAAAATAAGCAGAAAGACTTAAAATCAACAGATAATTAATCTAAGTTGTGATGGACATATAATCAACAGAACTAGCCATAGGCCCAGCCAGATCAGTACTTATCGGTACTGCAAGAAAAAGTATTATACAGCCTACCATTAAATGCAATCAATTTGTGTAGCAAATAACATTACAGTTTCCAATTCTGCATCACAGAGTTCAACATACCATTGAAACTACCCCAAATTTCTCTCAATAGAGAAAGTGCGCCATTCCTTCCACATCTAAGTAATGCACAACCTAATAATATCGGAAAGCTATAAACTAGGACACTCAGAGATAAAGAAGTGATGTTATTTAATCTCATTGTTGGGAGCTGGGAGGTGCATTATTTTGGAAGGCTGAGTGGGAAAACAAAGTATTTTGCTGAGATAATGGAAATCATTCCTGCCAAACAAGAGATAATCATCATGTATTTTCACCTATTTGCCTCTATTTACATATACCCATCCAGTTAACATTGGCATGTATTTTGCTCACAAAGCAGTGACAATATACAAAATAACGGTAGCCTCCCTAACATTACAATGATTGTTTGTATGAAGATATACAAGCATTCCTGGGAGCACTGTCTAGCACAGTCTCACCAAAACACTGATATCAGCCCCAGGCTGACTACAAAGTTAAGACGTTCTGCTTTTAGCCCTGGCTGGGAATTTTTGCATTATGAATACTGCAGCAGGGTCACTGGAGAGCTGCCATCATGTAAGTCTTTCTTCTAGTCTGATGCTCAGGATATTTAAGATAGAAAATCATTATCTGGTCCCGTTCTGATAAAGGAACATGCAGAACCTAGGTCTTGCAAGTGGGGGAGTACTGCAACCAAAGTAGATACCACCCCAGATGGATACGACCACCTGCGGCTATTCCCTCCAGAAAGTGTACTCACTAAGAGAGAAATAAAACAAAATAGCAAATCAAATCAGCTGTCCATCTCCAAAAGACAGGCAGATCCTGCAGCACTCTCTCACAAAGCAGAAGAGAGAAAAATGGGGAAAGTAAATCCCTCCTATAAGCTGTTCTATTCTTAGTCAACAAAGGTTACCAAATTTCCCTTTACTGTTACCTAGTAGTACCCCTGGTGGAAATAGGGGGTTTGCTGTATTTTGCTTGGTTGTGTAGAATACTGGGCTAATAGT